TGCAGCTCTCATTTTGCTGCTCTGTGAGCATTAGCAAACCTTCACTCTGTGGCTGTTAACTCCTTGCTCAGCCAGTGGGTGAGGGTGTAATGCATACCTACTGCATCTGCCATAAAAAATCACCGAGGATTAATCTGCCAGGTGAGATGCATCTGTGAGATGCAGTGGGCCTTACTCTTCCACTGAGTTGAACAGATTGGCTCACCTTCTTGCTTCATGTGCTATAAAGAATAACTGAAGCATATTCAAAATAACTATCCAGTGAGTTGTACTGGATTCACACTGTGTCATGCCGTTGCTGATGTGTGGAACTGACCCTTCACACCTCTGCAATAAATCTATCTTGTTCCTTTTCAGGGGACTCAAGATGTTTATGTGTAGAAGACCTTCATGTTTAGATTTAAGAGGAAAGCTATACTCAAAGCATTTTGCATCTGCTGTATAATCATATTGATGTTCTACAAAGCCTGGAACACCAAGTTTGCTCATTTTTTGTTCTTCTCCCTCCTCCATATATATTTCATTTTCTGAGAGAGACTAGAGTCATAACTATATATTCTTCTGTACTGAGTCTACCCTCGTACAGCGATACTTTTAAATTTCTTCCTGTAAGATCAACACAACACAGGGAGTACAGAGCATAATAATGTGTTTGAAATAGATATTGAACTTTTTCTGCTTCATTTGAGTTCTAAATTCTGCAGAGTCAGCTAGAGGGTATTTCAATATAGTTAGAAATGTGTCTTTCTAAAAAAACCCTGTACCTTAGGAAAACTTCCAAGACCTGACAGTTCCAAAAGGCTGTATTCAGGGATGCATAAAATAGTAAGTGGTCTGCTCTAACCCCAAAGTTAACCTGAACCATTTTAAAGGTGTTTTCCATGCCTTTTATAACTCTTTCTCCCTGACTCAATACACATCTGGTTCTAGTTGGCACCAAAAGACAGACATTTAAACGCAATGAAAAAAGGCTAATCTTGTATTTCTGTCTTGTTGGGAGACAGGAAGTACTAGAAATACTAGAAATCTTATAAGAAAGGCAGTTCTCCTTGGACATCCAGCCACTTTTTACATAGTCAAGTGATTTATACAGCTCAGAGAAGAATTCAAATTTTTGTGTTAGCAGAACTGACCCTCTCAACCTCCAGAAGCTCATTCATCACTAGGTAGAGGTAACTAGAAGATGCCAGAAAGGCTGCTCAGTCTAACAGCCAGCCATGAAGTTCTTGATCTTTCGCACCCTTGTTCTTTCCTCTAGAAAAATCCAATAAATGGAATAGTATTTAAACACACTTTTTGACAAGGAAAAGAAGTGGTGCATTACTCAAAATGCTAGAGAAAGAAAATAAAATCCTGTGATTCTGCCTTAATCTTTGCTTTTTCCTTAGTCAACTCCTATTACCAAGGTGGATTTGAATAAAGATAACAAAATTATAGGGACTTTGGGACATAATAAATATCTAGCAGTACTTAGTGCAATTCATCTATAGAAAACCCTATAAAGTACATTTTCCATATATGAACTAGATTCTGTTTGTGGTAGTAATATAGCCCCTTGAATATCTCTGAACAGCTGGGCTGCAAGTGCTTAAGATTTAATGAAAACCAATGGGAATGAGCTCATGAAGTTACTTTAAAATCACACATGGGTTTTCAGTGGCTTAAACACTTTTGAACATTCAACCCATGAGCCACTTCTACAATGATACTGCAAGGTGATGCATATGCACTTAACGTCTTCTTTCATGAAACGAAATCCTGAAACCAAAGCTTGCACATGGCTACAAGGAAAGGCTCACAGTGAATTTAGAAATCAAACATCCCTGCACGCATTTTCATGCTCAGACCATGCTTTTCTTTATGACCTTACTATATGCACAGTAAAAGGCATGCCTACCAGTGACCAGTGATGTTTCACAAGTCTTATCTTCTCAGCAGGTTCTGCTGGCATCCTTGTGGCAGAACAGAACTCACAGAATGTATTGGTGCTAATGGAAGAACACGTTAATATTTTAAGTAGGTGAAAAACAATTTGTGAAGAATGTGTTCATTTACCTTTTTGATCTTCTTTTTTTCCTTCCAATGCTGATGCTTTCTCTGATGAAGTACCATTATCTCCACTGGCTTTTACCAAATTTTCTTCCTGTATTGTTTCTTCACCAATGGCTATGGTGTGTCCATTTGAAGTTTCAAAATTTACTGTTACATCACCATCTGAAATAAAAATTAAAAAGCTATTGTCTAGTTTAACTGCTTCCTTAGCACCCACTGACAACACAAAGCATTCCTCTGCTTTCAAGTTTCCACGGAAGCAAAGCAGAAAGACTTACTGAGAAGTGGAACATCGGGCTGCAGATCTGCTCTGAAAAGTAATGCTGTAAAGGAACTCTATAGGCTTCCATGTTCTTTGGGTGGACACCTCTGCAATAGTGGGTCTGGAAGTACACGTGGGTTTTCAGGTCCAGCTTCGTGCCTGTACACATTAGCATCCCGTTCTCCTCCTCCCTGCATCTTGGTTTACACAGCAGAGAAATGTGTGCACGGACCACAACGGAGCTGCAACACGTTCCAACAGGCCCCAAATCTGGACAATTAGGGGCCAGAATTGTAGGACTACTGTGGTGGATCCCAGTAGGTAAATCAGCCAAGAATTCAGACAGAAGTTCTCAGAATATGTGTGCCCAGTTAATGAATAAAATAGGTCACAAAGACATTATCCAGTCTTAAGAACCAAGGTGAGATCTTCCTGTATCACATATCATACCACTACTAAATTCTGCAAGTCAAATTCTTTCCCAGCTCTGATGATATTTTACTCACTTACCCAGACTACCTCAGCTACGAGGTTTTTTTTAATCCTGATAATACTGAAAATACTTCTTTCTCTTCCCTATTTGTCTCTATAGTCCTGAAAAATGCTACATACTCTTGTTGGCTCACAGCCTTCTCTCTTCCCTTATTTACTGATTTCTCTTCTCTGTTCCATGCATTTTAAAATTGCTGCTGATTTTCTTCTGTGGTAATTTCTAAGGCTTCTTATCTTTATGTTGCTCACACCTCACCTGCAGTTCACGTAGACTATTGCTTTCCTTCTGCAGGATTCTCTCGCTGTCCATCCAAAAATTATGCAAATCTACGTGGTGTCTCTTCTGGTTCCTCCTGTTGTTTTCTTCATTCATTGTCATAATTCCACTCTCTTCTCCTCCTCTTCCTTGCCGTGGGGGCTATTAGACTTGGATGCTTCACAGTTCCTTGGTTTCAACACAATTATGCAGCCCCTCTCTTACCACTCTGGGCTACCCCATGGGTTAAGCTGATGGCTTCACTCTTGCTCACACACTAACTTCAACTTGATGAGTAAAAACTAAGTTCTGCCTTTTTAACCTTGCCTCAGTCACTGTGGCTGACAGTTGCACAAGGCCTCCTTCTTACCTTACTGCAACATTCAGTTTCTTCAGCTTCTTTCTTACAGATGTTCATAAATTCATTTTTCCCTCTGCCTCCGTATGTGGCATTCCCACTTCTTACCCATGTCATGGTTCTGCAAACACCTCCTGCCTCCAAGTGGCTCTTGCCAATTTCCACTTCATCATCTCATGTGAAACAGTCACTTCTTCACATTTCTTACCTCTCAGATTTTAAGACTCCATGTAATTTCCCCATCTAGCTTTTGTCTTCACAGAAATTACTTCTAACTACCTTCACACTGCTCAATCACTGTTTTTTCTGTATTTCTTTTTTTAGCACCTTCAAACCAATCCTCTATTCTTTCAAACTGCTCCTTAAAAACAGTAGTTTTCATCGGACAGGAAGCACAACATGATGAAGGCAACACAGACCAGATTGACAGCTGCCTTAAGATGGGAGGAAGGGGAGAAAATTGGTCATCTTTACATCCTTTTCTCACTTTGCGCAATCTCCATAAGGGATCCAAAATCCTATCCCCTTTTAAGAGTGGAACAGAGGGTCAGGGACACTGATGACCAAAGCATACATACTTTCAGCACAAATGATAGTATCTATCTTCGTGATAGTATCTATCTTCAGACTGCTTGTAACCAACCTGAAATGTCAACACATTTCATTAACTGTCCCAGCAATTTACAACCATCAAAGGACAAAGTCAGGCAGCTCCCCAGTAAAGCAGGTAGCAAACAAATGTAACAAATTCACAGACTGACAAATTGCAGTATGGAGAGTTTGCATTTCTTGTTGTAAGTCTAAGACAGTGGCAGAGACAAGTTCAGAAGCCAGCTATGCTGAATGTCATAGTCTGGTAATTAGTAAAACACTGTAAAGACAAGTGATGTCACATGTCAACAAACAAGCCCTTTACTTCTAAATATCAATGTGTACGATACTAACCATACATATTGATACTTTCATGATTCTTCAGCTCAGGCAGAGTAACACAATTTCTAGGAGGAAAATAGTTCTGGAAATCATAGAGTTCTTGGACTCATCATTCTATGATGAATGGTTTAATTTTAAGCTACAGAAAATTATTTTACTCACTTTTATTTGATCTAGATTTACAGAAGATCAAGAGTATTAGAAATAATACCACTAGAAACATAACCAAATGTAGCACAGAGGTGTTAACCATGGTCTACTCATGCTTTTCGAAATACAAGTTCTGGTTAATACCAATTACTAAACCTTGCAGCATTTTGAAACAAGTGACATCTTCCTCACAGTTTTATGGTTGTGCCATTTGTGAATGTGGTCTGTGTGACAGTGGTGGGATCTGTATAATCCCAGCATTGGTACTTTTAGATACCTGAAATGGCAGCTATTGATTTGCTTAGGATCCCAAAGACCCTAATTTTTCAGACAAAATTTCTCATATTATCCTCCATATACTTCAGACAGCAGACCTGGACTCAAAAAATAGGTTAATCACTAACTCAAAAAAAATCTGGCAAACAGTAAGTAGGAACCACAGGAGTCACATTATTTACGGGGAGCACCAAAGTACTTAAGGATATGACCAGAAATCAGATGGTGTAACTATGGCAGGAGCAGCTACAGAACACAAATCTCCCAACTCTTAACTTTAGTTCTTTGTTAGCTGTCTCAAACAACCTCTCACACTCCTCAGCTTTGTCTCCTCACACCTATTTATACTACATGGAAACAATGCATTAGTGGCTTTATCATCCATGTTTAGCACTTAGGATCTAAATTCTAGGTAACATGTTATCACCTTGCTCGGGCATTTCCTTCAGCACTCCCCTTCTTATCAGCTCCTCTCTGCTTTGTCTTGTCGAAATCTTCCTTTCCAACACTAAAGAAAAAGCACAGTTAAGAATAGATTTATTCTCATACTGCTGATGCTGATGTAGGAAAAGATTGTTATTTTAAAGAAACCCTGAGAAACCTTGTTTCCTCTGATTCTGCAGGAGAAGTGGTCTGGGTTTTCACGGACACTCTCTGCAAATATTCTCCAATGGTTTCAGGCACAGAAGCAGGGGATTGATCTGATCCAATGCCTTCAGCTGAGTGAGGCTCCATGAGGCCTCCTCTACAGTCAACGGAAAAAGGTACTTCCCAAGTGATATCAAACTCATCCTAGCATATGCATTTAATATTTAAGAGCACCTCTTTACCACTGACTGGGGTAAGTAGCTCAGCTGGAGATATCTCCATCTGCTTTGTAGATATTTTGAGTTGGGAGAGACAAATCCAGCCTAGAGCAGCCTTTATGACATGCTAACTGGTTTAAATGAAAAAAAATAACCTAAAACAGAAGCTAGAAAGTTGTGTGCTAAAAGGGAACAACATCCTCATCCAGGCTGATTTGCTTTCATGGAAAAAAATGCAGCATCCTGTTTTTAGCTAAAAAACCCCAAAGCATACAACACACAAAAACAGACTGCGACATGAAGCATTTTAATTATTATGTTTATTTTCCATGGGAAAAATGCTAAATAGTTTTATAGGGAAAAGCATTTACAGATGGCAAAACAGAGTAACTCCCCACTCCACACCACCCCGAAACCAATACAATTTTGCTTAGTGGTCTGGGAAGCCACTGAAACGATTTGTGGAACCATGGTGCACGGGCCATAAAATGTGAGCATCACTTGTAAAACCCTGTCTTCACTGTTAGGAGAAGTTAATCTCTCATCCTGATTCTGTTTACATATGGACATCAAAACCCAAGTGATGTTTGGAGCTCAAGCTGAGGGCATATGGCAAAGCTTCAACCATACTGGACTTCATCCTATTAATGCTGTGGGATAGGGTTATTTATCTCATCAACTAATTCAAACACTCTGGTAATCCCATTACTCTCTAGGGCCAGTCTAATTGCTGTATGCAGATTAAATACTGCAAGAAGTATTCTCAATCTCACTTGCATCAGCCCAGCTGGAGTGAACAGCCATACAGTGAAGTGATGGCTCCCGTGAAGGCAGGGCAAGGGGCAGTTTGGCTTTTCTTAGAAATTTACCCTCCATGTGTAGCCAGACTGGTTGAATTCAGGTGCCTGAAGGCATCACTGCTCATGGCTTCCCACTCCCCACCTCTGCCAGGGAAGGGGACGGTTGAACAGAAGATGAAGCAGATCCTGCGCTTCTCAGACTTATAGCACCAGGTTTATTTCTCACGCTGCAAAGTGAGGGGATTCAGCCACTGCTTCACATGGGATGCATTACCCTGCCAAAAAAGCACCAACTCCTGGCAGAAGAACCGGGGTCAGTAACCACTTTGACTGGCCCAGTTCAAGCTGCCTGTGAGATCAACAGCTTGTGAATGCAAACAGGACTGGTGCAAGAACATTTAAGTCTGTGTTTATAAACTCAAGTAATTTGTGGGATCTGTCCATTAAAGGTCAAATGTTCACAGAGTTTAAATCACATGTGACAGTAAAAAGGAGCCCGTGAGTGTGGCTGCAGACACCCTATATAAGCCAGCCTCCTTGGGGACTGTGTGGCAGCCCCAACTCAGGCTAGACTGCCTTGGGTTCCAGTCCTAAATTCTGCAGGAGCTCTTCTAAATTTTCTCCATTAGCTTTTAAAGTACATGCCCTGCAGCTGTGTGTCACACGTTACTGGCATGGCAAACAAAGCACAGGAGCGTTCCCTATTCTTGCAAACAGTTTTTCATGTAGGTGAACATACATATTCTCATATTATTATTTCAGCTTTACAAGTATTATTTACTTCCTACTATTTTTTTCCTCTCTGCTTCCTTTTTACATCTGTTTTCTTGGGGACAGTGAAATAAAATGAATGATCTCTCATATATTTATTTGTGGGACTTAATCCAATACCACTTGAAAACAATGATGCTCTTTCTTTCCATCAAGAACACTGAATAAGACCCTCCACAAACATCTCTCTCTAGTTTCCAGGATGATGTGTTTTTTCAGTTCTACAATACTGAATTAACTCAAAGTAATTATCATGGAAAACGTGAATTGGCATTAAAATACGTTAACTCCTTATACTTTCACTGGAAGATCTCAATGCATTTTATTATCATTACACAGGTTTCGTAACATCCCCTAGACATAAATATCTCCACTTCAGGAGAAAGATTAGAAAACTTATGAACAAATAAAAAGCTTAAGCCTCAATCCTTTATCATCTAAAATGCTAGCTATGAGTGGTATTTTTATTTAAACTGATTAAACTCGCTTAATGAAAAGCTAATTTATTTAAAATATTATTTGGCCCACGGAAAAAACATTAGAAATCATGCTAGTATTCGAGTATCATAATTTTAATTCGTACAAAGGAAAAGGCAGAATTTAATTTTAATAACTTTAATTTTAAAGTGACCAATAAGATGACCCTTTGTATAAGAGGAATGAGTAGCCTGTCTACTTATGAACATATACTGGGTGCTATTTAGCCAGGGTAGACTCATCATTATAATTTATTGCTTATTACAGACCTTGGACTACACAATTCAATTCACATTTACACAGTCAAGTACTTTGATTATCACAGCCCAACGGCACTGAGCTTTAAGGGTCTCAAACTACTCAGCTGAGCTAATCACATTTGACTACTGTTACGTTTCAGCAAACTCTCTTCAAATAAGAGTTATAAAGTCAAGCGTTTGGAGGTCAGGAAAAGTTTGAATGAAGTCTGATGGGTATGCCAATGATACAGCTTTTATTTGCTTGTTATATATTTTATCTTTGCCACCCCTGCCTCATTTAGGATACAGAGAGCACTGTGTTAAATGAGCTGTTCCTTTGCCTAACCTTTTTAACCTTACCTTTCAATCTGGGGCCCAGACTTCATTTGAGGAACAACCTAAACCTTCACTCGAACAGAAAACTCTTAAGTTTTCCCAAATGTCACCCCAGCAGTTGAGTGAACCAAAGACAACATGGTTTTCTCCTTGATGCCTATGTGGGCTATGCAAAGGTGTTATCACCACTGTATAGACAGGCACAGAAAGATTAAGCCATATTATCGAACATGCTGATATTTGTTAAGTGTTTAATTTGAGGTACCTTTTCAGGTGTAATTTCCCACATTAAAGCTGTGATAAATCAATCAACCAAACAAACAAAACAATCCAAAGCACAGGACTTCTAGTTGAATTGCCAACTTATGGTTCAAAATATTTCATCAACAGAAGTGAAGCTATGAGCAGTGCCCATCTGCTGCTGAGTTAAGGGCATAGACAACTGTAGAAACAGTTATCATCTACCGGAACCACCTGGGATGAGTATCACTATTTGTCACCTTAGAAATAGTTCAGTCTTCTGAATTCAGTACAGGGAGAGGACTATGGTGTGGTGCTTCCACCACCGTCCCACTTGGCATGTTCCCTCTTCTCACCACCTCTGACATGACTTCATCATCTGGGTCTTTCCCTGTCACTTGAAGAACTTTAAAGTTCTTATCTTTGGTTTCCAGATCTGCCTCTCTTCTCTTCCTTCTTCTAGTAGAATTTGCCACAATATGCTACCCATTTGCTTCTCCCATAAGCATGCCTTTATCTCTCTATTCCTGCAGATCATAATTTTTGCAGTCTCTGATCTTACCTTCCTCACTCAGGACTAGTACTATCCTGAAACAAATATATGATAGATACTGTTAGCTGTACCACCATCACATGGACATCCTTAAGGTGAGTGACCAGTTGATCTTATTACTACAAATAATTTCTGTCATATGTGTATATAATAACATGTGTACATAAATATATATCTGAGAATATATATATCTTAACACGTCTGTGGTATATATGATATATATATGTGCATATACTAAAGTGCGAACATATAGAACATTTCAACATCAACATATTGTTTATAATATTAAGCAATAATAAAATGGATATAACAATTTCTCCATCTGGGTACACGTACGTACTGAGATCGATTACACAAACAAGTCAGTCCTGACTGTGAGTGTAATTTGTTCTCAACCCTGGCCTGCTGAGGGCTGAGGTGAGTTGTACTCCACTCAGACATCATAGAATGGTTTGGGTTGGAAGGGGTCTTTAAAGGCCATCTAGTCCAAGCCCCCAGCAGTAAGCAGGGGCATCTTCAACTAGATCAGGTTGCTCAGAGCCCCATTCAGCCTGACCTTGAATGTTTCCAGGATGGGGCTTCTTCCACCTCTCTGGGAAACTGGTTCCACCACCCTCATTGTAAAAAATTTCTTCCTTACATCTAGTCTAAATCTACCCTCTTTTAGTTTAAAACCATTACTCTTGTCCTATCGCTACAGGCCCTGCTAAAAAAGCTTGTCCACATCTTTCTTACAGGCCCCCTTTAAGTATTGAAAGGTTGCAATAAAGTCTCCCCAGAGCCTTCTCTTCAACAACCTCAACTCTTTCAGCCTTTCTCCATAGGAGAGGTATTCCAACCCTCTGATCATCTCACTAATAATCAGAACAGTTTACCTCAAAAAGCAGTTTCCATCCCTCCTGACCCTCTCAAAAGAGACTGCTTAGTGATATTCAGCAGCTACAAACCTTACGCAGTCTTAAAACCCATTCTCTTGACTTAGAGTGCTGTGAGATTCTGGATATTCTCCAGTCTTTAGTTTTGCTCTTCCAAGAGAAGCTTGAGAGAATTCCATTTTTTAAATTTTTTCCTGACCTAGTAAGAACTAAAACTGCCTTTTGCTCCCTGTCTGCGCATCCTCTCGCAGCGGAGCTTTCAAGTGGCATCTACTTTGTGCCAAGATACAAACTGCTGCTTTCTTTTCTTTCACAGCAAAACACGGCAGAGGGGAGAAACCCTTGAGATGTTGCCATTTTCTGTTTGTTTTTACTTAATTTTCAAAGGATACAACCAGTGCCCAGAGAATA